GAAAAGAGATGGTTAAGTTTTCCTCACCATACCAGTTGATTTTTATGAAAAATGGGCAGTTTTGGCGTGGGAACATGCACTTCCAATGAATTTTACCAATACATTTAGAAAATGATGATCGAAGAATATTCCAAAAAGAAGAAGTGATCAAAATATTGACCCTTTGTAGAACCTTAATTTGGTACTTCCAATTTTGAAAACTCTTTTGAAGCAACTAGCTTCTAGGTGGTCCTTCCTTGCATCGATCAGTATATCTTCCTTCGAGAACCACAATTTCCCGCCAAGGTCTCTCAGATATCTGTTCAGTTTTATATGAGCCTCAGTTGATCTTAGGAGATTTTAACTGTCGCAGTACATGCTGCGGGGAACTGTACGACGACAACCGCTCAACCTTGATATACGACATGTGCGACATCTTCAAAATGACAATTCTGAACACTGGGGAAGCAACACGAGTAGCCAAACCTCCAGCAAGAGTAAGTAGATTAGACCTCTCACTTTGTTCGAGTTCACTATCGTTGGATTGTTCGTGGAAAGTAATCCTACGGTAGTGACCACTTGCCAATCAAAATTTATATCTTATCTTCTACTCGCTCAGTTGACATCGTGTACGATCTTACGAAAAACATTGACTGGCGAAAGATTACGACCGCGGTTTTTGATGCTAGTCAATCGGTTGAAACACTTCCTCCACTGGACGAGTACTCCTTTCTCGCCTCCAGCAAGAGTAAGTAGATTAGACCTCTCACTTTGTTCGAGTTCACTATCGTTGGATTGTTCGTGCAAAGTAATCCTACGGTAGTGACCACTTGCCAATCAAAATTTATATCTTATCTTCTACTCGCTCAGTTGACAACGTGTACGATCTTACGAAAAACATTGACTGGCGAAAGATTACGACCGCGGTTTTTGATGCTAGTCAATCGGTTGAAACACTTCCTCCACTGGACGAGTACTCCTTTCTCGCGCGTCTAATCATCGATTGGACTTGTAATCAAGCACATACGAAACGTGTCCCGGGTGTTTCTGCTCGCAAGCGACCTCCCACTCCGTGGGTTACTGGCGTCGGTTCGTCGATGGTTTGTCGCGAGAGACTTCCATGAGAACACTCTGGAACAGTATTGGTAAAATATCAAAAAATCTCACCAACGCCCAAGATCACACTTGATTTTCGTAGACAAAAAAAGACAACAAGCAAACTAGGGTTAACTACCACATTTCCGGCCTATTAAGCACACCCCGCACTTAGTCTTTCTTAATCTAGCGTAGTTTAGCACCAAACGGAATGTTATTATTACTGATGGCTTCCAAATTTATTTACCTTTCCGTACGTACAATTTGATAAAGAGAAACAAATTGTCGAGATATTTTTAAAAGTCTAACACTGCTTCTTGACGCCAAACTCGGCCCACGGATTCTAAACTCGGCCTAACACATTGAAACGCCATTAAAACGCCAATGAATTCACTTCGGCCTAACACATTAAAACGCCAATGAATTCACTTCGGCCTATCGGATGAAGATAAAGATTGATTCGGTTATTTGTATTTGAGAATATTGGGTGCAAACATTCATATCACGCGTTCTTATTAACTTCGTTCGGTAGCATTTGAACTAAAGTATCGTACCAAACGCAGAATTTACCTGTTAACGCCAAAATCATGAATTTATTTGATGTTTTCTGCTTGATAGGCCCAAAATGGGCGCTTAGGCCAAAGTAGTTCTCTACCCTATGCGGTTGATTTTGCAAGCTGTGATATCGCAGCTCGGAATATCAAGCTAACAAAACTCACCAACTGAAAATCTCACCAAACTGATTTTTGCTTTACACCCGAATGCAACCGAAACTTCCATAATGGCTTGCAGGAGTCCCTTTCGCGTCTTCCATCGTGGTAGATTAAAAAGAGATAGCAAACTATGCTTTCTCTTTCTAAAAACGATGTGCAATGGAATCATTTTTGTGTCGAGTCAACTCTCAGCTTGATTTTTGCACATTGTGCATAATCTCGCAATATCAAAGGAGCTTGTAAAATCAATATCAAGCATGATATTTTGTTCCAATGTTCGCGTGATGCGAGCGCATGAGAGCGGAAAAATATAAATTGATTTCTGATTTTACCAACACTGCTCTGGAATTTCGGCAGAAGAATGCGAAACGCGTCATTACCGATTAACGAAGACAAGGAGTACTCGGACAGCTGGATATTAAGCTTCGCGCGGAAAGTTTGCCCGGATTCGGTGCCGGTTCAAATCAACGTTCGTTATCGTCCGTCGGGTAGTAACGAAATAGATTCCCCGTTTTCGATGGTGGAATTCTCATCGTCTAGACAAATGGGTCGAGTCGAATGGTTTAATTTCAGATACGCAATTTGGATTTCGGAGAGGCAAAGGAATGAGCGACTGTCTTGCGTTGCTTTCAACTGAATTCCAACTGGCCTATGCGCAAAACCAGCCAATCGGTTCAGTTTTCTTGGACATTAAGGACATTTGATTCTGTTTGTATCGATGTCATTTCGGATAAACTCCACGATAGTGGGCTTTCACCAATTATGAACAACTATTTGAGCAACTTGTTGTCTGAGAAATATATGAGCTTTTCTCATGGAAACTCGACAACTTCAGTTACAGTTACATGGGTCTCCTCCAGAGCTCATGTTTAACCCCTCTTCTTTATATTTTTATATAAAAGACATTGATGGTTGTCTTGATGAAAATTACTCGCTAAGGCAGCTTGCAGATGACGGCGTTGTGTCCGCTATAGGGTCAAGTGCATCGGACCTGCAAGGACCATTGCAAGATACCTTTCATTTTTTCATTTTCATTTTATGATGTACAAGGGGGTCAGGGGCCATGTCACCGATGTGAATATTCACACCATCCATAATACACCAGGGAAGGGGAGAGGAGTGAGCAACACAGCATGTTTACCCATGGGGGTTAAAAAAGTTCTGCGAGGTACACTTGTGGTGAACCAGCGGCTCAGGGATTGTAGAAAGGAAAAGGGTTGGGTAGGTTTAAAATGCAGAAATAGATGCCGTCACGATTGAATGCGCATGTTTAAACAACGTTGATCCAGGTACCTATCATATAAATTTGCATATAATCTAGCTAATAAAGTTAAATAATAATAATATAATCTAGTTATGATTATTGTCAATAATACTTACATTTCGATGGTGCTGCCTACTTTACCTGTTATGTGATACTTATCATCACAGAGTCCAACCTTGAATCGCAGACCAGGTCCACTAACAAAACACTCGTTCCGAGAAGGGTTTATGGTCTTCTTCTTCTTCTTCAGGTTCGCTCACCACCCGGAATGAAGGCTCGGTGCGGTTAGTAATATCAAACAGTGTTACATGCAGGGTGCCTTCCATTCATTTTGACTAAAAAAATGTTTTAAGAAATTATGGAATAATAAGACATTTTGAAAATATTTTGATTACGTAAACAACAAGAAAAGATTGTTAAGTTTGTGTTTGACACATAATACCTGCCAATTTTGCTACATGAGAGTCGCAATAAGCGATTTTGTAATTTATCTCACCCACTCTTCGCTCTTCACTCTTCGCGAAGAGGCGATCAGAAAAACGTTCATTGTGACTCTGTCAAAGCTAAATTTGCAGGTTTGATGTGTGAAACACAAACTTTACAATCTTTTCTTATTACTTACACATACAAAATGTCATCATAATATCCTATTATTCTATAATTTCATAAAACATTTTTTTAGTCAAAATGAATGGAAGGCACCCTGGTTACATGCAAACGAAAAAACGAAAAAGAGATACAACCAGGATTAGTTTTTTAAAGTAATAGTTTCATCTGAATACCCAACTAACCATATCTCAGTGACATTGTACCACTCTGAACCCACACCTAAAGCTATTTTGTGATTATATGGTTACTTTGGTATTCACATGAAATGTTGTGCAAGTACCAGAAGTTCAACAACGCCCAACTATGGACAGCTCAATGTTAATACCATTTACTCTTTGAATCAGCTTACACAAACATGATAATGTACTAAGAAACATCTAAGAATGTATAGAGATAAAGTTCAAAAATACAGTTTTAACTGATGGTACTTTATACACTTCAAACTGTCCAATATTGGACCCTGCCAACACACGGCGCCTGCACGGCAATGTGGGCCGTCAGAATGGTTCATCGGTTGCGAAGTGAAGTGCTTCTAAAACTGAAGCGATACATTTCTCAATGTTTCAACGTTATCCTAACGTAAACTTAATATTATCACCCATATGCCCGTCCAAGCCCGAAACCCATCCACCACACAAAATCAAATAAAAATGTTTCTGTATGGCAAACACGTCCAGACATAGACGAGAATATGGGTGTATATCTTCACTGTAACAACTACGGGTAATCATCGAAAATACTTGCATTTTACTCAGGCACTTTTGAGCAAACTGCAATCACTCTCTCATACTCGAAATGTGCCACGACCAAATTGGCACAACGACGCCCTATACGCTCTCTGACCAAAGCGCAGGGAAGGACCATTGCAAGATACCTTAGACAATTTGTCTACTTGGGCTATGAAGCTAGGTATCGAATTCTCTCCTGAGAAAACTGAGTTGGTTGTTTTTTTTCTAGGAAGCATCCTGTACAGTTACAGCTTCAACTAAAGGGAGGAACAATCACTCAAAGTATTTTTTCAAGTATTTAGATGTCTGGTTCGATTCCAAATACACGTGGGAAAACATATTGCGTATCTGAAACAAAAATGCCAGCAAAGGATTAATTTTCTTCGTACAATTACCGGAACTTTGTGGGGAGCCCACCTGGAAGATTTGATCAGGTTGTACCGAACAACCTTCAAACAAGATTCATGATTCTGTATTATGAGTATATGACGGTGGAGGTTGGTCCTTCATTATTAAATTCCAATCGTGTTTGCTCGGGTCTACGCAGGGGGTGGGGGGAGGGGGACTACAGCCCCTTATTGACTTAACAAAACAAAAAACCGTAATACATACATTTGTTGTGTAGGGTCCGGGATGAGTTGTTTTTTTATCATGCGGTCCTCAAAAGCATTAAGATTGTTGATATTGCCGACTACATCCTAAAATAAATGGGTGCAATGTTCAATATACAACTTAACTGTATTATCACCCGCATATTCTCGTTTTCGTTCGAACCGTAAGTTTTTTTTAATGGAAAATACGGTTCGAACGACAACAATAATATGGGTGTATATGTTATCATACATACGTGAAGTAATTTGTAGTAATTCGGTTTTCCCGTGTAAAATATACTGTGGAATGGTCTGCCGGTTTCATCGAATTCTGCTGCTTTTCGCTGCGGAATTACTTCTTCTGGTGGTTTCATCATGGGTCGTGCTTTTTTATCGTATAACCCCGATGGGAAAATATATTGTATAGCTCTCTGAAACCACAAAGCATACCATCTAATATTCATAATACACTGAAGCCTTTTTTCACACGGTACGTATTTTTGGTGTAAATACAGAAATTTTTAAAATATGTCTATATGGACCATATCATGCTTTAATTACAAATGGCATCAAAATCCGATTTTTTAAAAACATTTGAGCATGCGAAAAATCAAAATCTCGTAGGTTTTTTTTACACGGTACGTATCCCCCGTGTATAAACTTATCGCAGGGCGAGGACTTACATCAATATCAGCTTGAGTGAATGTTTCCGGATTTTCTCCCATCATATTCGCCAAGTGACGCTTGCCTAACTTGAATTCCAAGTTTTGAATCTTCATGAATTCGTCATGTGCTTTGGTACGCTCCAGGTATGCTTTCATGGCTTTGTTAACTTTTTCCTTCTTGGTTGCCGGTATTGACTCCGTTGTTCTTGCTGCACCGCTCATGAAATACTAACATATGATTATGTAATAAAATAAAAACAATCCCAATGTAATGTCATACGTACCAGAACCGGATTAACTGTTTTCGCTACTACCGAAAATCGACTTTGAAGTAGATGCACACCTTTGAATTTAGTAATAATCTGCACAATATTCGCCATGTTGCAAGAAGCTGTTCACTACTTGAATGCAGGAGCAGGAGCAATGAGTGGATTACCGAGGTGAAGCAATCGGTTAAGTTGTGTGAGTAAAACCCCTGTACGATACAAGCAAGTAGTGACGTCACTACTTGAGTTTACGTTGATTTTTTGGTTTACTAAACAACCATATTTCACGATCTGCTACACCTCTCTCTGTACTCATTGGAGCAGGAGAGCGCACACGGTAACCAGCGTAAACACATTAATGTGTAAAAAAATACACATTTTTTTATATATATATCCAGCTGTCAAAAAATGTGTAAATTTGGAGATCTTGAAATGTGTAAAAAAATACACATTTCAGTGCCAACATTTCAAAGGGGCGTAATTGCATTTGTAAACAATGGCTTTAGTCGTCGATTTCTCGCGAATAAAAGCTCACTCATGAAAAATAATGACACCAGCAGGTAGAGGAATGTTTCCTCTACCAGCTAGCATTGTAATTTTGGAGAGGTAAGATTTCATTCGTGAGAAATTGACGGCTAAAGTCATTGTTTACAAAAGCAATTACGCCCCTTTGAAATGTTGGCACTGAATTTTAAGAATGTAGTACCAGTCAAAAAATGTGTATTTTTATACTCATTAATGGGTAAAAAAAACTTCAAACTTTGCTGTAGCCTGCCTTGTTTACGCACGTAATTTGTATATATTTCAGTGAAGTGCAACAGGAAAATAAAGGAACTACGGTCCAAGCTGGACAGTACCATGGTGGGTATATAAATGGTGATACAGCTTTGTCACTATATAGGCGAGGAGGTCGCGGGGGGGGGGGGGAAAATGCGGTTTTAGAGCAAATTGTAAACAAACTCGGTCGCTGTCCCATACAAAAATCCAACATGGCTGAATCACGAATTTGACACATTAGAACACCTATATGTAGCCACCTTGGACAGTACGACGATTGACATACTATAAGGTAGGTGATTTATACTATTTTCATAGTTAAGTTTGGAAAAAAAAAATCATAATCAATGTCCGGTGTCTCGCTTGCTTGCTTCATACTGATTTTTGTTTTTTCCTTGATTTGTTTTCCGTGCTGAGCACCAATGCTACTGACGCCAGAAAGGCAGCTCCCATCCTACCTATCGATCCATCAACTCATGAACCGGGAACCAATGGATTTACTTCCCTTCCGAAGGAAGGCGTGATTCTCGGCGTGATCAGAGATCTCAGAACATCCCAGCGGTGCCAACTGGGATTGAAATCAGACCTGCTGGGGTAAGAGGCAATCACGCTTATCACTGCAACACCGGCGCCGGTACTGTTTTTTTTATGGCATTCCTTTTTTTAATAAAATATTATTGTATTCGAGCAATCTTTATTTTACACGGACAGAAAATTGTTTGCATTGAACCAAAAAAAAACTTTATTTGTATTTACACAAACAATTTCGGTTGAAATTATATTGCATTTTATTGTTTCGATAATATTTATTCAAATACATTCAAAATAAGATTCTTTTTGTTTTCAAAAGCCACTCTTCAACTGCAACTATTGTAAAAATAACAATATTCTTTTATCAAGCCAACAATAGTTAATTTAAATTTAACATTTATTTGTTGTGTCAATTCCCCGGGCCATGAATGCAAAAATAACTACCAACCATTCCCTCGTGAAAACCTGGACAAAAATGTAAACAATAACAAAAAATTTCTCGTTTGATTCAGCTCTAGAGGTAAGAACCCTAATAAAAATTGTATGATTAATTTGCTTAACGACGTGTTCTGGGTATCATCCAAACCATTTATGGAATAGTTCAATAATTTGGGTTATCGTTCGTTTATGGTTATTTTTTATTAGGGTAAGTAGGTATGCTGCTGTTACAAAATATAAACAGTTTTTCTTTTTTTCCTTGATTTTTTCCGTCGATCTTATTTTCAGTACTGAGTACCATTGCTCCCAACGCCAGGAAGGCCGCTCCCACACCTGGACCCTACCTATAGACCCATCAACTCATAAACCGGAGAGATTTTATGCCTCAGAAAGTTTTTTTTTTTTAATTTAATAAATTGTAATTCTGTTGGTAACAAATAGAAAACAAAACATAAAAATAATAGCAAATTATTAAAAATTGAATCAATAAACATATTATGAGATTGATTGATATTATGATTATTTCTACTGCGTATATTTTTAGGCTTAATAAAATAAATATGATTGAATCAACAAGAAATCTCTTTTAAAAACAAACATATTTTTTTGTTGACCCAGCTGCAAAATTTGACAGCTTACGTCAAAACCATAAAAGCTCTTGTAAATTCGAAAAGATTTTCTTTTTGATTTAACAATCCATGGGTTTTTAAAAACAAAGATACTGGATTTTTGAAATAATAATGATTTCATTTTGCAGCCAAAACAAAATGAAATTCTTATTAAATTTACGTCAAATATTATTACGTTTAAAATATTTTTTTCTGCGTGTATCATTAACACAAATAAGAAAATTCCGAAGTTAATAAAAAACCATGCGCCCCCATTATATTTAAGTTCTAGAAATGATTACTTTTTACACATTTTGCTGTAAAAACCGTTCTTGAAAAATGTGTAAAAAATACACTTTTATTGACGTTTGCTGGGTTTACACAAAAATGTGTAAACGCAGTTTACACATTTTATGAGTAGACCCCTTTTTTCACGAAATGTGTGAAATTTTACACATTAATGTGTACGCTGGTTACCGTGCACCGATTTCAATCTAAAGCCCTACAGTAAAAGTATGGACGTCTGTCAAAAGTTGTTCCAATCGAACCGTCAAAATGCACCGCTTTGCTCTAAAGCCCTACAGTAAAAGTATGGACGTCTGTCAAAAGTTGTTCCAATCGAACCGTCAAAATGCACCGCTTTGCTCGATTGGAACAGCTTTTTCAGTTTTGTGGTGATAGTCGTCCATACTAAAGAGCCTGAATTTATAAAGAGACGACATCTTATCCATTTGACAGGTCTTCTGCTCGATTGGAATGACTTTTCCTATAGAGCTTGCTGCACCCAATGCTAAAATAAAGGAGCCTTAATTATTTTTCATTGGGAGCTGTCATTAGTGTCATCAGTGTCAAATTTGTACGATGAAAACATTGTACTGTCATTCGTTTCATCAGCTATTCTCGCAATCTCACCCGTGACCTCTTCAGTATGGTAAAGTTTTTGTACATCAATTTGTTTCATTAATAAAAACGATTTTTTTTGCAGGATTCGGACGAAGCAAGACGGCGATATACCGAGAAAATTAAAGTTTGTGATTCTATAGATCCTTACTCTGTCCAGGTGTCCCCAATGGAGGTTCCCCTGAACGTCAGTTTTTCTGAAATTTACCACTATATGGTAGTAGAAAAAAATCCATTCACCGGATCTCCCAAAGACTCCAAAAAGGGAATGGAAGCTAATCTATGGTTTCAGCAAGGATGGGTAAAATATGTTGGTGGAAAGCAATATAAAAACGTTTTCATAGTGCAGGGAAAAGTTCTACACTCGTTTAATTTACGGAAGACCCCACTAAAGCCGTGGATCATCGTCCGGAAAAACGGTGAAATATTGTCAGCTCACTGTGACTGTGCCATTGGTTTACTGGAAACCTGTTCGCATATTGGCGCAACCTTGTTTGCCCTCGACGACATTCGACAGAAAGTTGCAGATAAGAAAGTGAGTATTTGAAGATGGGAAAGTGTATATTTGCCACGTATTATAGCTAAATTAAAAATAGATATCGGTTACAGATTTGCCAGCGTATTGGAACAAACCTCCTTTAGTACCAGAACAACATCTTTACAAAAAAGTGAAAGACATCTCGTTTGGACGGAAAATTCAACGATTCTGGGAAAACGTACCAGCAATAACTGATGAAAAATACGCTGATTTCTTTACTTCCATCCAAAATGAAGGAATTCAAGTAGCTGTTATGTCTTCGTTTTGTGGCACCTCCAACTTTCAATGCACAACATGTCAGAAATGCGTTGAAATCGAGACGGAGTTCAGTGACTACCTGCTGGGAAATCTGTACAACGCTTCTCACCGTTCCAAATCAGAAATTGAAAAACAGTTTTTGGTATATTCAGCTGCCATATCAATGGGAAAACATCCAGAAAAACTTCATCGTATCGAAAAACTTACTGCTGCACAAAATGGAAGCTCATACTGGAAAAAATTTCGTATTGGTCGTATCACAGCTTCGATTTTGAAGGAAGTGCTACGTACCAGCGTTACTAAACCATCACTATCGTTAATTAAGCGCATTTGTAACGATCTCAAATGAATCTCCTTCCAATTTTTCATCATCATGGTCAAGCAAAACGTGATTGGAAGCGAGTTCTGGTTCGGCCGATATATTTCCGGAGTTCGAGGGTTGGATTTCTACAAATGAAATATACAACAATAAAAATAATAACTAGAACGACACTTCCTTAAAATTCATGATTTCATACCTGTATTTCTGGTAGTGATTTTTTCGACTTCGCTATTTGAACGTTGCGGGAGGAACAACGTTGGAATCCAGTCGATGTCATTTATATCTTCTAGATCCGCCGGTTGTCCTTTTACGAAATGCCTTCCGCAGATTCGCATGTTCGCCTTCGGCAAACATCCGCAAGCTTTTATCCATTTAAATGACCGTCTCAACATGTGATCTCTGTTCAAACTTGTTGAATTTTTCCGCGGTTGCGGGAAGTTGAAAAAACGTTCTTCGTGCTTCACATTATTGCGTTTACACGTTATGACGCAGCACACAACGGGCATTACTGCTAACACACAAAAAAACAGCAAAAAGATGTTTTTCGAACACAATATATTTCAATAAGCAACAAGCAACGAAAACCACGAAGACGCATCGAAAAGAATAACAAAACAAATTAGTTTGTTATTTTGATTTTTCAAATTCAGGTTATGGTTTTGCCGATGACAACAAAACAATCGCTTTCTTTACTGGTGTTTGTAAATGAACTGTCAGCAATCTCTATGACTTTGACAGACAATCGATTGTTCCAATTTTGACATTTCGCCTCTTTATAAATTTAGGCTCTTTAGTCCATACTGTAGGGCTTTATTTCAATCAACCAGCTTGCTGCCGTTTTGGTGCACGCTATTCCAAAACTACCCAAATTTGGATAGAATCCACCCAGATAGGTCAAAACTGAACCAACCCAAAATGGGTAACCCGCATAAGCACGAACCATAAATTGACCTTACCTAAAATGGTTAAAATTGTTTATAATCCCTGCTAAACTTCAACTGAAATGGTTATGGAACTTTACATGAACGTTTAATGATAAAGTTTTAACCTTAAGTATTATATTTTTTTGGAAGTGGACCTTACAAATAATGGGTTGTTAAGAACCATTACCATTCAAAATTCTTGTTTTCTCCATACATTTTCGGAAAGAAAACTATACTAAAACCACTTAACTTATGGTTTGAGAACATTAATGGTAATGGTTATGGTAACCAGTAAGGTCCATGAATGGTTTTGTAACATAGATCAACTTTATGTGGAATATATCGCGAATTGGTTGCCTGTAAATTACTGATTACCAATTCACGATATATTTCACGTAACGTTGAGCGATAATACAAAACCATTAATGGACCTTACCGACTACCATAACCATAACCATTAATGTTCTCAAACCATAAGTAAAAACGTTCTAATATAGTTCTCTTTCCGAAAATGTATAGAGAAAACAAGAATTTGGAATGGTAATGGTTCTTAACAACCCATTATTTGTAAGGTCCGCTTCCAAAAAACCATAATACATAAGGTTAAAACTTTATCACACAAACGTTCATGTAAAGTTCCATAACCATTTCAGTTGAAGTTTAGCAGGGATTATAAACAATTTATAACCATTATCGGTAAGGTCATGGTTCGCGTTTATGCGGGAAACTATGTTGGCAGTGACAAGCCAAACACTACTCTGCTTACTCTTTTGGGGAGCTGCACCGTCGGGTTAACCTCACTTTTTTTTTGACATCTGGCAGTGGCTGACTTAGAAAAAAAAAATTAAAAAAAAATATTATATGTTTTTTAGATTTTTTGGAGAGGAATATTTTTCAAACGAACATAGTCCACGGATACGAATTTTGTTCATTTAAAACAAAAATATAAATATATGAATTATTCGAAATGATTTGAAAGCATGTTTAAAACTAAAATATTTATGTTTGAATTAAATTCAAAAGCATGTTTGGTGGAGGCGAACCAGCCCAAGGCTGAAAGCCTCCCTAATAAAGATTAATAATAATAATAATAAAAGCATGTTATTTCAACAATATAGGATTTGGGTAAACGGTTTGTTATTTCCTTCTTGTTACATTCGGAAAAAGTTGCCCCAGCTTTGCTCAACCTCAACAGAAAACGGCCATCCATTCCGAATCCACTCCGGATCCTCCTCCGATACCGAACATGGAAAGAAACCGGTATGATGACCAGTGGCAGAAACGGCAAAACGACGCTAATAACACAAATTAGCACCGGTTCCACTGAACTGGAACCCCCGGACACCCACCCAAACGGGTCCTCGCATACCGGACCCCAATACCCACAGGTCACCCTTAATCGCACCCGAAAAAGAGCAGGAATTAAGATGCCCTGCCCGAAGATCTTTTTTTTTCATTTCTTTGAAAACCGTTTTATTTTGCATTACCCTGCACTCAACTACTAAAATAATTCCAAGATACGTATGTTTATTTTAAACATGAGAAGCATGTTTAAAATAAACATATTTATTATTGTTCGCATAGCTGTCAACCAATCAAAAATAAATACGTTTATTTTCAACACGAATATTTTTGAAATAAACGTAACATTATTTTTATTTTAAACATTGATTTCACATGACTTCAAACATGGAATACGTTTGAAATCAACCTAATTTATGTTTGTGGCCAGAACAAACTAAGTTGACGTTTAAATTTACCTCAAATATTTTTGTTACGACGATAGTGTTTTTTCCGAGGTTTTTTCAGCGTGTCGGATATCATTTAAGATCTTTTAATTATTTTTATTTAAAACCTCTAATCCACTTGAATCGACTAACAAGCAAAGGTAAACAAACCACCACTGGATGTCAAACTGATGAATGTGGGTTCATCCCGTTCATTCGTGACGTCAGCGTGCACCATCCTATACCTTGTACAGACATACAAAGTTCACTGTTGTACCAACAATCAATACGAAACTAACGATTTTAAATTGGCTCACCACTTTAGTAGCCTATTGGTCCCAAGCAAACGATTAACGTACCCTATTCTAGTTGAAATTCTATTACTACACTATGTTTGTTTTGATTCGCTATGAAAGTTTGACAGATAACATCAGGGGTGTGTGGATTCATGCAGAACATGCAGGGGTGAGTGAAATAGCTTGGGACTGCTTGGGACCGTTGTTCTGGTACTGAGTGAGCCAAAAATAATAATGATTTTCTTCGGGACCCAGTGGTCTTAGAGTTACCTCTATGGTTGTACTACCGTTGTAGTGCTTTAAGCTAGTACCACAAATTGTACGTTTTGAGGTACTAGATTAAAGAAGTACAACGATACTAATTTGTATGTCTGTCTGTGGTATTAAGGGCCACCCACATTAGATCCATTTGCGTTGCGTTGACGTAAATGTGATAGTTAGACAATAGATTTAGCTGTCACTTTGCTGCAACGCGTCCGTTCCGAGTCTAATGTGCGTGGGCCTTTACCATAGAGGTAACTCTAAGACTAGTAGGTCTCGAAGAAACGTGCTCAACTTTTTGGCTAAGCTCTGGTACTCTCTTCGGTTCCAAGCTAATCGATTCACCCCTCGAAACATAGGAAAATCCACTAAACCCTCATTTTATCTGTCAAACTTTCATAGCAAATCAAAACAAACATAGTGTAGTACTTGAATTTCGACTAGAATGGGATACGTTAATCGTTTGCTTGGGACCAATAGGCTAGTCAAGTAGTGAGCCAATTTAAAATCGTTAGTTTCGTATTGATTGTTGCCTTTACTATAGGCAAAATTTGCGCCCGCTACCTCACCTGCTACCTCATTTCTGTTTCATTTTATCGTCAATAAACTATTCGTCGTATGTGCCATTTATGGGTAAAAAAATACCCATTTTCAAACCATGTATGCAGCTGTCAAAAAATGGGGGAATTTGAAAATCTAAAATGGGTGAAAAAATACCCATTTAAAGAATCAGTTCACGATTGCATAATGGGTATATTTTTAACCCACTAATGGGTGAAAAAACACTTGGAAATTTTATCGTCTCATTCCTGTCGTATTTTCAATTTTTTTTTCTCCTTCTCAAAACCACGACTTTACTTCACAGCGATCATTTACAGAATAACATGCTCAAGCTACTTTCTTGTTCACGTTCTTTTCAATTTCCCCTCTTGCACACCTTTAAGCCAACTCGGCATCCGGTCAGAGTTTGCGTTTCGATGTTTTGATGCAAGTCTAATTACTGTTGTAAAGCTTCCAGGAGTGTGCGTTCATAAGCACACTGAACATAAAATATAATTATACTTACTGAATTATTTATTTCATCTTCTGTAAAAAAAAAAACATCATTAAGGTCAACAAATAATTTGTATTTACCTTTCACATAAATAAACTAAATAATTTATAATCAATTAGAACTGCTAATCCGAATGCATAATTCGATTATCTTATTATGAATTTCACAAACAGATTATTGTAACTACGTATACAACCAAAATGTAAGCATAATCTTTAATTAATTTTTGTTAATTCGTTTTACTCATTTTATTCACATTTAGCTTTGTAAGTTCACATAACAGTGTAGCCTATAAAGCAAACGTTATAGTTAAAGAGCCTGAATAAATTCAGGCTCTTTAGTTATGGTGTTTCAATCATATCTGTTCACATCTCTAAACAATGTACACGATAAGAAAAAAGTACCCTGAAGCGCCCATACTCCGTTGCGCATCCATATTTCACTCCCGTGGGGAAGCGCCCAACGTAGAGCAACAACTCGCGTGGTCTTTCTTTTTCCGTAAAATGAAAGACAGTGCAATTCCATTTCTACTGTATGGGAAAAGCTCTTTGATGAATCCAGTTATCCTGAGGTTGGAACTGTGCTCGTCCGCACCTAGCAAACCTCGGATAATAAACTCATCAGAACAACTGCCCCGATTCTTTATTATTCAAAACCTTTTATACATGAATTTGTTACTTAAACTCTACACATTAGTTTTTCTCCAGTATGTACATATAAAGCGAGACAGATAGTTTTTCTCTTGGAAAGTCGGTGTCTGTTTTTTTTAACAAGAATTAATGCTCCTCGCGGTAGGAACGGCTATGTATGATGCTTACTCACCAATGTTTACTTGGACCTTTCTCGAAGCACCTAGTTAAGCCAGCGCGCATCGCTGACGACGCGGTAGCAACTGTTTATAAACAACTGACCCTGGAAATGTGCAACATTGTCACTGCTGCTGTTAAGTTGTGTATTTTCTACTACCGTATGGGGGTCTATTACTGGTTAATTTCTTACTCAGATTGATATTGGATTTTGAGGCCTTTGCATCCTCTCTTACTTAACCAGCTTGAGAATAATATCGAAGAGATTCTTCTCAAGGATATGCGCTGGTAACTACTCTATATTTGCTAAATTTTTAACTGGATCTTCTTATTATGGTTCTAACTCCTACTGTGCCTTTCTTAAGACACTACTTTGTACTATTAATAAACTTATTCAGTCGTTCATACTTTAACTAAATTTTGTCATTTGACAAATCATCTGTGTCTACAAGTTTTATCATGTTAGCCTCTAAGGACACCTTATGCAACGTTTGTTTGATTCGAAAAAAAAA